CTCTCCTGCCCAGGCTGGCTTTGAACCGCGATCCTCAGATCTCAGCCTCCTGAGTAGCTAGGATTACAGGCGTGAGCCACCAGCGCCCGGCTAATTATTGCCTTTATGAGTGTATGGCCATGAAGATGCAGCCTGTGGCTGGGTATATGGGGGTGCCCACTTGTAATCCCAGAACTCGAGAGGCTGAGACAGGAGGATTGGGAGTTAGAAGCCAGAATCAGCTATACAGTGAGACCCTCTCTAAAACAAAACAAAACAAAAAACTGCAGCCACGGAAAGGCAGCGAGGTTGTTGAGAATAAGGCAGCAGACACATGGACCGTTGTAAGACGTAATTAACGATCTCACTTGAGTAGAACTGGGCTGTTTTATTATCTAGATAAACATTGGTTTTAGTAGAATAAGGCTCTCAAACCAGAGTATCCAATCAGTTGGTGGAGAGAACTCAGGTTACAGGGAAGAAGCCAATCAACTGATGTCTGGTCAGTATTCAGCTGGGCGGGTTGATTGAGATACTTGATCAATAAGCAGAAGGCATGGTAATAAGAGGGAAAATGTCCAATCAGATGGTAGAGCTGTCCCTGACTGTTTTCCAACTTTGGATTTGTCTTAGGGAGAAAACCTGGAAGAGAACGAATTTGAGCCTGCAGAGACAAACTTCCCAGAAACCATCAACAAAGAGGAGCCCAGTGCCCCCAAAGTCGAGGATGGCAAGGACGGTTTCAACCTGGGCAGCACCAAAGACCTGCCACCCTGTGCCCCTGGCCCTCAGCTGGGAGAGGACATGATGGCATATGTCCTTCGGCCGGCCATGGTCGGTCACATCGTGCAGTGTCTCATCCATCGCAACAAGCATGGCATGGACAAGACCTTATACCCCACCTACCAGGTGTACCTGGAGGCGGCTGATGGTGGCAAGGTGCGATTGCAGCTCCTTGGGGTGTATGGCTCCCAGGGGACAAAGTCAAGCCAATTGACAAATCCAGGCTTGGCTTGGCTTATATCTAGGTCTTGTCAACTTCCACACTTAGGTTTTTGTCCCAGTTCTAGGGCTTGAATTCATGGGCCTGGGCACTGTCCCTGAGCTTCTTTGGCTCAAGGCTAGCACTGTAGCACTTGAGCCACACCGCCACTTCTGGCGTTCAACCCAGTGCTTCATGTATGCTAGGCAAGCACTCCACCACTTAAGCCCCAGTCCCAGCCCAGGAGTCTTACTTATACAGCCCAGTGGCATAGACCTTCCCTTCCCATAATCAAGTTATGTCCTTCCCAGGGTTGGACCCCACTTTTAAAATCAGGCCTTGCCCCCCCCTTTTCCTCTCTCCTCTCTCTCTCTCTCTCTTTTTTTTTGGTCTGTTGTGGAGGCTGTACTCTGGGCTCAAGGCTAGCACCCTACCACTTGAGCCACAGCGCCACTTCCGACTTTTTTCTGCTTATGTGGTGCTGAGGAATCGAACCCAGGGCCTCATGCATGCAAGGCAAGCACTCTACCACTGACTGAGCCACATTCCCAACCCTTGTCCCCTCTCTTGTTTGTTTTTGTTTTGGGGCTTGACCTCTGGGCCTGGGCACTGTCCCTCAGCTCTTCAGCTCAAGGCTAGTGCTCTACCATTTGAGCCACAGTGCCACTTCCAGTATTCTGGTGCTTTATTGGAGATGAGTCTCAGACTTTCCTGCCTGGTCTGGCTTTGAACCTGGATCTTCAGATCTCAGCCTCCTTGAGTAGCTAGGATTACAGGTGTGAGCCATAGGTACCTAGTCCTACCACATCTCTCTAGATATGCATTAGTCCCTTCTTTGGTCCCTCCTTGAGCCTTGGGTGTCAGATCCTCCCTAATCCTGGGGCAAGCCATGCCCTTCTCTAGCTGGGTAATCCCCTTCCAGTGTGGTGGTGGTCTCTCTGGGTAGTCTCCCTCTCCTAGAGAGGCTTCTTTCCCTACTTGGGATCAGACTCAGTTTGCTTGGATGAAATGTCTACCAGAGACCCTTGTAATGTTCCAAGCAAGGTTCTTCATTCTCTGCAACTGGGCACTGCCTGGGCTATGACCAGTTCTGGGACCCATGGGCAGAAGGAAAGGGGGCAACATTAGGACTTAAAGGCTCCCCTTCAGGACTCAAACTGATAGTTTCCTTCCATAAGAATATCACCCAGCACTACATAAGCAGAAAAAGCTGGAAGAGGCGCTGTGGCTTCAGTGGTAGAGCGCTAGCCTTGAGCTGAAGAGCTGAGGGACAGAGCCCAGGCCTAGAGTTCAGGCCCCACAACCAAAAAAAATAAAAAATAAATATATATGATATTATATATATGTCATATATATATATATATTATATCACCCAGTCAATTTGGTGACTCAAGCCATTCTGCCATCTCCTCTGTCCTAAGACATGACATTTGTCCTTAGACTCTTCCAGCTCTAGCCAAATACCTGAAATTCATTTTCACAAACTGTTCCTTCCATGACAGCGCTTCCTCTTGGCTGGAAGAAAGAGGAAAAGGAGTAAAACTTCGAATTATCTCATCTCCATGGACCCCACAGACATGTCCCGAGATGGGGCCAACTTTGTGGGCAAAGTCAGGTAAGGCAGAGCCAAAGTATGTATAATAAATCACAGGTGAAAACCTAGAAAAGTGACAAATGGACTACATTTACCAATGGGCCACAGAACACAGGTTCCTTCTGATGGTCCGAGATGATTGATGGGTTTTGTAGTTCTGCGGGTTGTAATGACTGATAGGATTTGTAGTTCTGCAGGCTGTATTAAATGATAGGTTTGTAGTTCTGCTGGTTGTATATCAAAGAAATTGGGGAAGAGAAAAGGTGAAAGCTTTGGCTGTGATTTAAGATAGGTGACTTCTTCAGAGGCTAGGGACTGAGATTTCTAAGTTCCAGTGGGACAAAAGGTCTGTTTATTCTTGTGTCTAGAGGGAAGAAAGATGGGGCCAAAAAGAAATCAAAACTATCAGGACTGGGCATGTGGCTTAGTGGTAGAGTGCTTGCCTTGCATGCATAAAGACCTGGATTTGATTCTGAGTGCCACATAAACAGAAAAAGCCAGAATTGGCACTGTGGCTCAAGTGGTAGAGTGCTAGCCATAAGCCAGAGAAGCTGAGGGATAGTGCCTAGGCCCTGAGTTCAAGCCCTAGAACTGGAAAAAGAAAAAGAAAAAGAAATCAAAACTATCATGGCTCATCTAAGAGAAAGCCTGGGACCATGGGTACAGACAACAATTCTTTATACATATATGATTGATTTTTTAGAGAAAGCACTTAAGTACAGCTAGAGTAACAACTACTACACTGTGACTTCTATTGTCATTGTCTCTACTACCCTCCTGCAGATCTAATGTCTTGGGTACTAAGTTCACCATCTTTAACAATGGAGTGAATCCGGACCGGAAGCATTTTATCCCCTCAATGTCACAGATTAGAGAGGAGCTGGGGGCTGTGTGTTATGTAAGCCCCATCGTAGAGGGATACTGGGGGGAGGGACGGAAGGAGACAATGAATATGAGGCCAGATGGTAGGAAGAGACAGGAAATGTCGATTATGATTCTTCCAAGGAGACCAACGTCTTGGGATTCCGAGGGCCTCGGAAAATGGCTGTAATCCTCCCAGGAATAGACAGGCGGAACCAGAGAATTAAGGTCCAGCCACAAAATGTGAGTCCTCAAGGCTGGGGAGCTGGGATTCCTGGGCCAAGGCAAGAAGAGGAGCTGGGGGGACCCCCAGGGGAGGAGGTGGCCAAGTGAAGCTTACAGGACTTTAGTATACTCTGGTTTTCAGGAGGTAAAGATTAGAGACCAAAAAGTGATGTATCTGGCCCGGCACCAGTGGCTCACACCTGTAATCCTAGCTACTCAGGAGGCTGAGATCTGAGGATCACAGTTCAAAGCCAGCCCAGGCAGGAAACTCTGTGAGACTCTTATCTCCAATAAACCACTCGAAAGCCGGAAGTGGCATTGTGGCTCAAGTGGTAGAGTGCTAGCCTTGAGCTGAAGAGCTGAGGGACAGCGCCCAGGCCCAGAGTTCAGGCCCCACGACCAGACCCCTCCCCCCCCCCAAAAAAAAAGTCCAGGCCCTGAATTCAAACCAGGTTTGAGGCATGGCTCAAGTGGAAAAGTACCAGCTTAGCAAGAGTGAGACAGATTGAACTCCAATACCAGAGGTAAGCTTGGGGAAATGAAGAGGTAGCATGGCAGGAATCTAGCTATCCAGTGGAGACAGACAGGGTATGAGGCTCACCTTTGAACTGGATGGATGCTGAGCTCAGAAGATTGTTAACTTCTCCCTGTGAACTTGAATTGGTTGTAGGGTTTAAACATGTGAAACTGGAGGCTGGGAATGTGGCTTCGTGGGGCTTGCCTAGTGTGCATGAAGCCCTGGGTTCAACTCTACTACATAAACAGAAAAAGAAGTGGTGCTGTAGCTTTAGGGAAAGCTCAGGGACAGTGCCCAGGCCCTGTGTTCAGCCCCACAACTAGAAAAAAGTGAAATTGGGGAACATAAGATTGTGATACAATGTTGGGGCATGAACTCAGGACCTCATGCTTCTCAAGTAGCTAGGTCTACAGGCCTAAGGCACTAGCTGGGTACTGAGCTTGAACTTAGCTTTTTCCACTCAAGACTGGTACTCCATAAGCAGGGGGCCAGTTGCTCACGCCTGTAATCCTAGCTACTCAGGAGGCTGAGATCTGAGGATTGCCGTTCAAAGCCAGCCTGGGCAGCAAAGTCCGTGAAACTCTCATCTCCAATAAACCACTGGAAAAACCAGAAGTGGCACTGTGGCTCAAGTGGTAGAGCGCTCGCCTTGAGCTGAAGAGCTACCTAAGCCCACAGTTCAAGCCCCAAGACTGACAAAAGGTACTCCACCCACTTGAGTAATGCCTCCATCTCTGGCTTTTTGCTGATTAACTGGATATGACTCTTGGATTTGTCTGCCTAGGCTGGCTTCAAACCAAGATCCTCAGATCTCAACCTTGTGAATAACTAGGATTACAGGAGTGAGCTACCAGTGCCCAGCCTTAATCCTCTCTTTAGGGATCAGTGAGAATTCCAACCCCCACTTCAGAAAATAAAATTTAGATTTAAGCAGATAACAAGAAAAAAACAACAGCCTTAATTGGAGAGTTGATGAGAAATCTACTCAGGCCTTAACCTTTGTGTAATCCTCTCAAATATAGGAAACAAAACAGGATACACACAGAAAAGTTGTTCACTTACAAAAGGTTTTATTTCACATGTAAACCAACACTGTAATAAATAAATATTCTTTTTTTTTTTTTTGCCCATCCTGGGGCTTGAATTCAGGGCCTGAGTGCTGTCCCCGAGCCTCTTTGTGCTCAAGGCTAGCACTTTACCACTTGAACCACAGCTCCACTTCTGGCTTTTTTCTGAGTGGTTTATTGGAGATAAAAAGAATCTCGTGGAGTTTCCAGCCCAGGCCGGCTTCGAACCACGATACCCAGATCCCAGCCTCTGGATTATAGGCATAAGCCACCAGTTCCCCCTACCTTGTTTCTGACACACTCAGACACAGGCCAGGAGCTGGAGTTTCACAGGAGGGGGGAAGAGGGAAGGGGCGTGGCCTGGGCTGGGACCTCAGAAGAGAGGAAGGAAGGCAAGGTCTGGGTAGGGGCAGGTATGGGGGCCAGAAATGGGAGTGGGTTCCCCAGTCGTGCCCAGGCTCTGGCCCGCCAGGTGGGGGTGAGGCAGGGGCCCAGCTCCTCCTGGGCCCGGGCGATGCGGCGGGCGAAGCGGCTTCGATCGCGGGCAAATTGTTCCCAAGGGCCTTGGCGGGCAGCCTGAGCAGCTCCCGCCCAGACAACCAAGAAATGGACAGTGACCTTCTCAGAAAACCGCACCTGGGGATGGACAGACACACACACCGGAATTTAGACACTAAAGGCACAGGGCTAGAGATATCCAGAGAAGGCAGGGGAAGAGAATGGAAAAATTAGCTACACATGCATGCTGCCTATTAAGCTGGTCACCTGCCTACCACGGGAAAGGCCCTTGTGACTCATGACAACAGAATTTCCAGGAGCTATCATGAGCCACCCCTCCCACGGGGACTCAGTCTCTGTTTCAGAGGATTGCGTGACAGTGAACACAATCTTCCCAGTAGAGTGCACGTGCAATCCTCTGTAACACAGGGACACAGGAGCCTGGAGTCTGGCCCATGTCTTCCCCCACCCCCTCCCTGCCTCAGACTTCAAGCTCAGGGGCCTACAGGTGGAATCAGTCTTAGGTGCCAAGGGCTCACCTTTCTGGTGTTTAGAGGAATCTCATCGTTCGGCTCCTGGGTGGGAGTTTCTTTCAACCTAAGTCGCCTTTGGAGTCGGATGGGCAGCTGGGGAGCAGCCCAGGGGGCTGGCGGCCTCTCTCCAGGTAAATAGATGGCCACTTGGAAGGGGCGAGGCTCAGGTGCTTTCTCTTCTTCAGTCTCTTTGGGCTGACAGGCCCAGCTTCTGATCTGGGTGGATCCAGGGCTTGACTCAGCAGCTTCTCCTCCCTCAGCAGCTTCTGAATCATCAAATTGATCCTCCTCCTCCTCTTCCTCCTCCTCTGTGTCCTCCCCAGGCTGATACACCCAGGTCTTCAAGAAGACATTCGTAGGAGGTTTGGATGAGGAAGCCTCAGCTTCTCCCTCCTCCGCAGCTGATTCCAAGTCACTGTCCTCATTGTCTTCCTCCTCTTCCTCCTCTGTGTCCTCCCCAGGCCGATATACCCAGGCTTTCAAGAAAGCACTGGTAGGGGGGGTGAGTGAGGAAGCCTCAGTGTCTCCCCCCTCCTCAGCTGACTCCAGCTCGCTGTCTTCATCTTCTGTGTCTTCTCCTGGCGAACACACCCAGGCCCCCACAGAGGCCCCCAAGAGAAGGATGGATGCTGCTCCTAAAGCAGTGTCCTCCTCTTCCTCCTCCTCTTCCTCTGAGTCATTAGAGGGACACTCCCAGCCCCTAAGCAGCTGTCTCGGAGCTGGAGCTGGTTCTGGCTTAGCTTCTTCAGTCACCTCTGGTGCCTCACCTGGGCAACACTCCCAGGACTTGGGGTAGGAAGATGTGGGAGAAATGGAAGTCTCCCTGGCCTCTGTTCTTTTTTCCTCCTCCGTGGTTCGATCCTCTTCCTCTCCCGGGCAATGCACCCAAGTGCTAGGCTTGGCTTGTGGAGATACTGGGGAAGTAGCTCCAGGAACTTCTTCCTCAACAGCTTCTCCATCGTTGTTGTCCTCCACGGCTGGACAATCATCCCAGTGTGATGAAGGATAAGAGAGTTCAGTCCCTCCCTCCTCTTCAGCTGCCTCCTCCCCACACTTGCTATCAGAACCTCGCAGGCCCCTTATCAATAGGCCAGGGGACCAGGGTGCAGGCTGGCCATCCATAGATTTCCTTTCTTCATCTCCAGGGACCCTGCTTCCTTCTTTCTGTACGTTTTCTTTATCGTTCCCATCTGAAAGTCCCCAGGTTTCACGAGGGGAGCTATGACTGGATTCTAGGCCAACAGGGGGCATCCAGGCTGCTTCTCCATCTTCAGGGGCTTCACTACCATTTGCCTCCTCTTGAGGGTGTCTGCCCCACTGGGGGGATGCCACAGTGGCTGAGGCATCTACCTGCAGACCGGCTTCTACCTCATCTGCTCCTGCTACTACTTGCCAGGGCTCTGGTGATCCTGGGCGCCTCAGCCGGCTCCAGGCCTTGCTGAGGAAGCCCATCAGTGGAGACAGGAGGTAGAAGGAATGAATTTCCCTCCAGAGCTGTGTAGCGTGAGATCCGTGGCTTGGGGCCATCTTTCTGGACTAGAAGGAAAGGGGCAAAAAGGAAAAGAAAAAAAAAAATTAGGAACCATATTGGGTGTGGCAGGGATCTCCGGTAATCCCAGCTATTCTGGAAATGGGTGGATGTTCAAGGACAGCCTGCATAATTTAAGAAAATCCTGTCTCAAAATAAGTGCCCAGAGATGTAGCTCTGAGCTCTTGCCTAGCACACAAAGGAGCTGGGGCCCAATCCTCAGTCCCAGGGGAGAGGCTGACCCAGCTTTTTTGAGAACCTCAGGGCACAGCTTTGAGTCATAAGACAAAAATAGGAACAAGGGAATTCCACCTAAATTCTTTTCTAATCTCAGCCACGCCCATCTGCGTCCCTCTCGTCCCCTTCAATTCCTACATCCCCGAGCCTAGGTACTAAATTCGCACTTTTCCTAATATCCAAGAATCCAAACTCCCAGACCCCTGGGACTTCCCCCAAGTTTTCTACGTGCTTTCTGGAAACAAATCACAGCCCCCAACTCTTGGATGATCTTGAAAATCGACCACATCGTCTCCCCATCGCCTGACCCTCCACACCGCCCGGGTGCAATTCCTTGGGGACCCAAGGCCCTGACTCCCACAGACGCTAAGACTACACCCCCACCCTTCCCTCAGGAGGGACCCTCCGGGAGGGTCTGTCTTCCTTACAACCTAGCTGCCACGATCCAGAACCTTCCCATCTCGGGACTAAGCCCCCGTCCCGCATTACTGGCCAGGAGTCCGGCCTCGAGCCCCTCCCCATCCCACCCTACCCCACCCCTCACCTCCAACCCCACCCAGCCCGCTCCTCACTCACTCAGGCTGGGGCCTGCGCGTCACCCCGGGGGTAGGAGTGTTGGCTTGAGCTTCCAAAAGCGATCGTAGGTCCGGACGGTTCGGGAAGCCAGCGCCTTCATCGCACCCTCAGGCGGCGGGCCGGGGGTCTCGAGGTCTCAGCGGAAGTCGCAAGCGCTGTCGCGACGAAGACACGCAGAGCCGAGTCGCGCTTCGCATGTAAACATCCACAGACTGAGCACAGAGCCGACGACGGAGCGGAGCGACTCGGGCCGCCGGGCCTTTATAGACCAACGCAGCGGGCGTGCTGACGTCACGGGGAGGCGGGGTCTGGGAATCACAGGGCCGGGCGTGGGGAGATGGAAAATAACACCGAAAACTCTCGCGGAGAGTCCAGGCGATGTGACGTCACAGGGCCCGTCCCAGCGTGGCCACGCCCCCTGAGCGACCTGACTGCCCATCAAAGGCACGGACCTGGGCAGCGGGTCCCTTGGCGCCCTTCTTACCTGTGTTTCGATTTAACCAGCAGGCCATGTCTAAAGCCTGCCACCCCGACATCCAGGCCACATCCTCTCAGGGGTAGAGTACCAGGTAGGATATTGTTGTATCCCAGATAAGGAAACCTAAGGTTAGGATCAAGCCATTTCCCCAGGAGAAGGGGGCAGGAGGAGGTGGGTCGCAGCAGAATCCAGATTCATCAACTCACTGCTTCCTCAACGATTGGGACAAAGCCTGGCACACAGTAGGTGTGCACCACTACAACATGTGTGTAACATCTGATAGACCTCCAGGTGCTGGCTGGTTCACACCTGTAGCTCACACCTGTAGCCACTCAGGAGACTGAGATCTGAGGATCTTCATTCGAGGCCAGCCGAGGCAGGATGTGGAAGTGTAGCTCAAGAGCACCACTAGCTTTGAGGAGGAAAGCTAAGAGAGGCCAAAGTACCGGCACAGAGAGAGAGAGAGGAGGGGAAAGAGGGGGAGGGAAAGAGGGAAAGGGGAATGTCTGCTAAACTGACTTGATTCATGGTCACAAGGCTGTATTCCTAGGTCTTACTGCTGGAAATGGATACAGGGGCTCTGTTTATCTGAACTGAAATTCTGATTGGGTGTGGCTCTGCCATGAATTTCAGACCCAAAAAGCCAGTTCGGTCCATAATCTTTTTATTGGGGGGTAGGGAAGGGTGCAGGGCCTGGAACCCAGGGCTTCATAGATGTTCAGCCAGTGCTCCAACCCTGAGCTATCCCTGTCCCCAGCCTGGGGCCCAGCAAATGCCTGACAAGAATTCTCACCTGGGTCTAAGGTGGAGATCTGAAACGCATCACCTCTTCCCTGGGGAAGCTAAATGGAACACCCCTGCGCCACTCACTCAAAGCTACACTTCTAGATCCCCAATCCCAGTTGTTCCAGAGTTTCAGGAATTCCAGCTATGGACCCCTTACAATCCCCAAAGTCCTCTTCACTGAGGGGGACAAGTGGAACACTGGTCTAGACCCCTAGCCACATAATTCCTTGAGACTCTATAGAGTTGAGGGCTCAGCTCCACACATTGAGAAGTTCCAGTCACAGCTCAGGGAACCCAAGAACTGGGGGGTGAGGGGGGGGAGTCCCTCCCCTCAGCCGTGGGGGCGGCTGAGCCAGGGGTCAGGCTGTGATGGGGCGGGGACAGCCAGGACTGGGAGGGGAGACAGCCGCGTGGGCGGCTGGCAAGGCTGAGGGGGAAACCAGCAGAGAGGAAAGAGAAACTGGGAGAGGGAGGAAGAGAATCGGAAAGACGGGAAGGAAACAGCAGCCATGGGGAACAAGAGGAAGAGATCTTGACAGCAGAAGAAAGTGCAAGACAGGGCAGAAAGTGCAAGATAGGGGGTAGGGGGAGAGAGAGAGAGAGACTGAGATTTTGGACGTGATTCAATTAGAGGAGCAGACTTGGATAGAAGGATTGAGAGAGACAGGAAGAGCCAAGGGATCGGAGATAATAGAGAGGAGAAAAGAAAACCAGAAGAGACAAGGTGAGGCAGAAACGGAGAACAAGACAGGAGACAGACAAAACAAGTGTGGGGAAGATCAAGTGAGCAGAGACAAGGAGAGAGAGAGGGAGCCACCTAAAGCGACAAAGGACGGACATCGGGCCCCCTCTTCAGTTCCTGGCCCCCCCCCCCAAGGGCTGGGTAAGTTTCTGCCTGGGTTGGGAGGGCTTGCCCGGGTGTGCATTCCTGCCTGGACACCCACAGGCCTGGGCTTGGGGAGTAAGGATGTTTTTTTTGGGGGGGATGCATGGGAAGTGGGAGACAGGTAGCCTGGGGCAGCTAGAAGGATGCAAGGAATAGGGTGTGGGGGGGTGTCTCTACGCACAAAAAGGGTCACATTCCTGGCCAGAGCTCAATGGGTGTGAATAAAGGAGCCCCTATTCTCTGGCCAGCATTCAGACAACTGCCCCCCTCCCCGCAGCTGCTAGGGCCGCCCACCTCTCTTGGCATTGCCCCTGGTATGCGGTCCTTAGCCCATGATCTTCCCCCAGCCCCCCAACTTCAAACAACAGGCTCTTTCTCCTCCTCCTCCTCTTCTGACCTTGGAGCCTCTGACCCCATCCCTGTCCCCAGCTGGGTTAACTGCCCAGACACAGCCCCTTTCTGTGCATTTCCAAGCCATTGATGGAGGAGGTTCGACCTCGGAGCAGCCTCAGCCTGGCCAGCAGCGCCTCCACTGTCTCCTCACTCAGCAGCCTGAGCACGAAGGTATGAGCTTCCTTGGTGGGCACCGGGAGAAAGGCTGGAGGGGCGGGCGTCTGGGGATACTTCTGTTCCCTGGCCCTGGGACTCTGGTTGTTAAGGATAAGGATTCTTAGCAACAGGGTGGTCTGCCAGACCTGGGAAGGTCCCAAGTTAAGCATCAGCTGCAGTGGGGAATTTGAAGCCACGCCCTATTCTGTCCCCACCCCTCCTATTTTTTCCCTAATTCCCAGCCAAGGGAAGAACCTTTGTTGAACTTGGTTGCTGAAGCCCTGCCCCAGCCCAGGTCCCCTGGGAAGTGAGAGGGCGTGGCTCTTCTTTTTCCTTTTCCTCCACCTCTTTTCTTTTTCGTATCGATAGTGGGGCTCAAACTAAGGGCCTCACACTCTTCTTTGGGTTCTTCACTCAAGGCCGATGCTCTACCATGTGAGCCAGACCTCCAGTTCCAGCTTTTTGTTGGTTAATTGGAGAGAAGGGTCTCACAGATTTTCTACTAAGGCTGGCTTTAAAGATGTCAGCCTGAAGCTGGGCGCTGGTGGCTCATGCCTGTAATCCTAGCTACTCAGGAGGCTGAGATCTGAGGATCATGGTTCAAAGCTGGCCCAGGCAGGAAAGTTCATGAGACTCTTTATCTCCAATAAAACACTAGAAAACCAGGACTGGTGCTATGGCTCAAGTAGTAGAGCACTCGCCTTGAGCTGAAGAGCTGAGGGACAGCACCCAGGCCCAGAGTTCAAGCCCCACGACCGACCAAAAAAAAAAAAAAGATGTCAGCCTGCTGAGTAGCTAGGATTACAGGTGTGTTCGATCAGGGCTTGGTTCCAGTTTCTTTTTTTATCCTTGTTTCTAAATGTTCAACTCGCAGGATCTACCACTTGAATCACAAATCCAGTCCTTTTGCTGTTTAGTTTCTTGCTTTGTTCTTCTTTTCTTTAAAATAGAGTTCCTTGGGCTGGGAAGGTGGCTCAGTGATAAAGCACTTGCCTTGCATGCTTGAGGCCCTGGGTGTGATTCCTCAGTACCCATAAGCCAAAAAAAAAAGCTGGAAGTGGCGCTGTGGCTCAAGTGGTAGAGCGCTAGCCTTGAGCTGAAGAGCTGAGGGACAGCGCCCAGGCCCAGAGTTCAGGCCCACGACCGGACCCCAAAATAAAACAAAACAAAAACAAAACAAAATAGAGTTCCTTTGCCAATCTTGGGGCTTGAACTCATAGCCTAGGCACTGTCCTTGAGCCTCTTTGTGTTCAAGGCTAGTGTTCTGCCACTTGAGCCACAGCACCCCTTACAGTTTTTTTTTTCTTGAGTAGTTTATTAGAGATAAGAGTCTCACGGGCACTCCCCCCCTCCCCACTTCAAATCACAATCCTCAGATCTCAGCCTCCTGACTAGCTAGGATTACAGAGGTGAGCCACCAGCACCTGGTTTGAGATGGAGTTTCATGCCGACTTGTTCCCTGGTTGTCATCTTCCTGCCTCTGCTGTTATTCTCCTTCCTCTGCTTTTAAGAAGCTGAGGTTATAGGTGTATGCAACAGCCTCCAGCTGACGTCCAAATTCAGCCTCTTCTTACCCCTCCTGGAGCCCATTCCAAGTGAGCCCCACCCCCATTCACTCTGTCTATCTTCTCTCCTCAGAAGCCTGCCCGAGTGGTAAACAAAGTCCATGCCTTTGGAAAGAGGAACCATGCCCTCCGAAGGGACCCCAACTTGCCTGTGCATATTCGGGGCTGGCTTCATAAGCAGGTAAGGTCCACAGGAGAAAAGGACACTGGGGCCGTGACCTGGCTGTCCATTCTTTCTTACCTTCCATGTCTCCTGAATTAACTTATGGCTTCTCCCCTTATTCTAACATAGTTTCATTCATTCATTCACTGATGCATTCATTCACTGTCTACTTTGGGCAGTACTTGGGTTTGAACTTAGGACCTCAATACATGCTCTGTCTTCCTCCCGTCAGGATCTGAGCTTTTGCCCTGGGACTGGCCTCCAGAGACATCCTCCTACCTAGCACCTGAAGCATAGCTGGGATTACAGGTGTCACTACTGTCCCCAGCAAAGGGCTTATGGATGGAGACAGTGGAGTGGTTCAGGCAGAGGTGATAGAAGCTCAGAATTGGAATCACCACCCTGGACACTCTGTGTCTCAGGCGCCAGCATACCTGGAACACATCTTTCTCTAAAGTCCCTGATCATTAACATTATCTCTCCCAAGCCCTCCTAAATGTCTCAATCCCCAGTTGTCAGATGAGAAATCGTGAGGGTCCTAGCAGGCAAACGACTTGAGGGCATAGTTTGAAAGTGGTATACAGCTTCGAGTCAGACACAGGTCTGATTGCACAAAAATCTGTCTCTCAATGCATAGACTGGCTCTCAGCTCACTGTGGGAATATCCTGTGTCAGACGAGCCTCTCAACCCCTCCCTCTGCATCTCTGTCCCCTCTCATCTCTGCCCCTCTTCTCCCATGTGTCTCTGGGGCTTTGTTCTCATGTAGCACAGTGTCCGTCTACTTTCTCCTCTCTTCCCAGGACAGCTCTGGACTCCGGCTGTGGAAACGCCGCTGGTTTGTTCTCTCCGGCCATTGCCTCTTCTATTACAAGGGTCAGTGTCTCAGATGGCATGGATTGGGGAAGACGCCCTCTCCCACACTCACTCCTAGTCCCCAACCCTCCCTTGCTCCCTCCACTTTGCAGACAGTCGAGAGGAGAGTGTTCTGGGCAGTGTTCTGCTCCCCAGCTACAGTGTTAGGCCGGATGGGCCGGGAGCCCCTCGAGGACGACGCTTCACCTTTACCGTGAGTCCTTCCATTTCCCAGGTGTAGCAGGTGACAGAGACTGGGGCAGGAAGTATCCACCTCTAGACATAAAAGCTCTTAACCAGGATCAAGGACATCCTTTATAGAGACCTTGGGATTGGCAAACCTTCTCTTCCCACAGGCTGAACACCCTGGCATGAGGACCTATGTTCTAGCAGCTGATACGTTAGAGGACCTGAGGGGCTGGCTTCGGGCACTGGGCCGGGCCTCAAGAGCAGAGGGAGAGGATTGGTGAGTAGAGGTCCAAGCCACACCCATGACTTCCATTCTGAGCATAACTGGCCCAAGTTAATCTCCACGTAGTAGTCCCACCCTTTGAATATCCAGTTTAGGAGACTCTGCTTTTAAAGCTCTGCCTCTAGGGAACTTCTGTTTTCCCAATCAGCAAAGGGACTTTCTCAAGTTCCGCCTCCTACATCGCCCAGTCCCACCCTTGCGAGCTGATCCTCCAGTCAGAGGATCTCATGATCAGTGGCTGCTCCTTTGCAGGTTGTCAATGTTACACTCTCTGATTGGCTTCCTCAGAAATCTCCATTTCAACCCTGCCCCCAGGCACCCATATTAACAGTGTCACCTAAAATAGAAGAACAGAGCCAGGTGCCATCACACCTGTCATCCTAGCTACTCAGGAGGCTGAGATCTGAGGATCCAATTCAAAGCCAGCCCAGCCAGGAAAGTCCATGAGAGACTCTTATCTCCAATGAACGACCAGAAAACCGGAAGTGGTGCTGTGGCTCAAGTGGGAGAGCGCTTGCCTTGAGCTGAAGAGCTCAGGCCCAGAGTTCAAGCACCAGGACTGGCAACAACAACAACAAAAAAGGACAGATTTTTCTTTTTTTATTTTTCTTTTCTTTTATTTTTATTTTTATTTTTTTTGCCAGTCATGGGGCCTGAACTCTGGGTCTGGGCACCGTCCCTCAGCTCTTCAGCTCAAGGCTAGCGCTCTACCACTGGAGCCACAGCACCACTTCCGGCTTTTTCTGTTTATGTGGTGCTGAGGAATCGAACCCAGGGTCTCATGCTTGCAAGGCATGCACTCTACCGCTGAGCTACCTTCCCAGCCCAGATTTTTCTTTTTTTTAATGTCAGACTGTCTCTCAGGCTTTGTCTTGGCCTACCCAAAATCTCAGTCTGGAGCTTAGAAACCTACCTGTTTCTCATAGACCTGGATGCATCCAATGGCCCTGGTACGTCACTGCTGTGACTGGTGAGATTGGGATGCTACTCATATTACACAACTCCCCTTTCAGAGTGAGCCACTAAGAAAATAGTGCCGTTAGGAGAGCCATATGAGTGATGTCTCTTTCTGTGCCACCTTGCTAGTGGGCGATCCAGGTCACCCGCACGTCCCCAGCCTGGGGAAGGCCCTGGAGGCCCTGGGGGTCCTCCAGAAGTGAGCAGAGGAGAAGAAGGATGCATCTCAGAGTCACCAGAGGTGGCTCGGCTCTCCAAAGGTCGTGGCAGACCCAGGCTGCTCTCTCCCAGCCCTACATTACACCTGCCATCTAGCCCAGGAATGAGGAGGACAAGAAGCCCAGAGTGAGTAAGGCTGGCTGGTGGTAGGGGCGGGGCCTGTGGTGGGCGGGACCAGAGATGTTGGGGCGGGGCCTGGTGGGAAGGCGTGGTTAGGGCTTGGGGGCGGGGCCCGGTACTGTCTGCTTAGTGCTTGCCTGTTGTTGGGGTTGCTGCCAAGGTCTTAAGTAGGGTACACAGGAGAAACTATTCAGGATCTTCCCAGCAGAGGAGGACTGTACAGCAGACACAGGGAGATTTTTTTTTTTAAACATTTTTATTTTTTTGGGTCCGGTCGTGGGGCCTGAACTCAGGGCCTGGGCGCTGTCCCTCAGCTCTTCAGCTCAAGGCTAGCGCTCTACCACTTGAGCCACAGCACCACTTCCGGCTTTTTGTTTATGTGGTGCTGAGAAATCGAACCCAGGGTCTCAGGCATGCAAGCCAAGCGCTCTACAACTGAGCCAACTTCCCAGCCCGGGAGATTTTTTTTTTGAGGCTAAAGATAGAAGAGTGGATGGTGGAGGCGGAGCAGAAGCTCTAACTGACTCAGTTTCCCGATTCTGTCCTGACCGCAGCCTGTTCACACCGCTTTCTCGCCCACCCTCTCCTCTGAGCCTTCCCCGTCCCCGGTCTGCTCCTGCGCGGCGGCCCCCTCCCTCATCAGGAGATGCAACCCTCCCTGCCCGACCTCACACCCCTTTAAGTCGCATCGATGTCCGGCCTCCTCTGGATTGGGGTCCCCAGCGACAGACCCTTTCCCGGCCCCCGACTCCCCGCCGAGGAACCGGCTCCGAAGCTGGCGGAGTTCGACCCTCCAAGAGCCCCCAGCACTGGAGTCAGGAGCCCAGGACACAGGTAAGTGGAGAAGTGGAGGAAGAGAAACTACAGCTCCCATGAGGCCGCAGAGATGTCTTCCCCTGTACATTTTCTGGTAGTTGTGCCTTGTGCATTATGGGGATTGTAGTTCCCACCCAAGGGGGAGCGGTTTCAGGTAGTGTCACAGGCCTCTATCTCCCATGGGCCTCACCACGTTCCTTGGCCTTTGCTCTCTAAGCATCATGGGAGTTGTGGTCCAGCCTCCTCTCCAACACAGTACTGTGAGATAGAACTGTTTCATTTGCTTCAGGTCTCAGAAAGTAAAAATAAAAAATAAGCTTAGCCAGGCCCCGGTGGCTCACGTTTGTCATCCTAGCTATTCAGGAGGCTGAGATCCAGGAAAGTCCATGAGACTCTTATCTCCAATAAACTACTAGAAAACCAGAAGCGGCGCTGTAGCTTAACTGGTAGAGCGCTAGCGGAGGGACTGCGTTCAAGCCCCACGGCCGGCAAAAAAAAAAAAAAAGCTAGTTGGCTACCTGCCTCTGATCATCATGGGCTTGTAGCCCAGAATATCCACAGCTGGCTTCTATCAGCCTTTGGGGGCTGCTAAGCACCCATTTATTTTGAAATTTTGATGAGTAGTTAAGGGAAGAAAGGGGAGGGTGTTGTCTAAACTTCAAAATGTCAAAAACAGCCAGGCCCTGCTGGCTCATGCCTGTAATCCTAGCTACTCAGGAGGCTGAGATCTGAGAATCATGGTTCAAAGCCAGCCCTGAGACTCTTGTCTCCAGTTAACTAGCCACTCTGTGGCTATCGAGCTCTATCCTTGAGCCAAAGGAGCTTAGGGCCCTGAGTTTAAGCCCATGACCAACAACAACAACAAAAAGTGTCAAGAATATTTACATTCTTACCTTTGCACTGTATTATTTTTATTCCAGTATTCCTCTCAGGCCTCCTCTGGTTCTTCCACTTATCTCCAGCTCCCCCCAAGACCTCCTGGGACCCGGGCCTCCATGGTTTTGTTGGTAGGTATCCTGGGGTACCTCAGATATTACTGAAGTTCCCTCCCTTGCTTTCTTTGCCATAATGAATGTCACTTCCATGCCGAGGAATTGAGAGAAGACTAGACAGTTCCATGTCTCTGCCTAGGTGCTTGGGTTAGTTTCCTGTAGCTATTCTAACAAAGTACTACTCTCTGGAGATGGACATTGGGAGGATCAGTGTTGGAGGCTAGCAAGAAATTAGCCAGAATCCATTTCAATAAACAAATTGGGTCCTGTAGTGCATAACTATAATATCAGCTCTGAGGAAGTCATATGTAGGAAGACTGCAATCCAAGTCAGTCCCAGGTAAAACATAAACACTTTCTCTGAAAAATAACTCAAGCAGAAAAGGCTCAATGATAGAGCCACCTACCTAGTAAGCACTAGGACATGAATTCAAATCCTGGGACTGAAAAATACAAAGCTTAAAATAACCAAGTGAATTTTCTCATAATTCTGGAGAAGGAGATGTGCTGCCGGGTTCCTCTGAAGGCCTTGTTTTAGGTGCTTCGAGATCTCAAGTGTTCATTGGTTTGCATTCCACCTGTCTCTGTGTCTATTGCCAGGTGGCCTTTTGTTTTCTTCTTCTCCTCCTCTTCCTTCTCCTCCTCCTCCTCCATCTTCCTCATCTTTTCCTTCTCCTCCTCTTTCTCCTCCTTCTTCATGCCAGTACTGTGTCTTGATCTCAGGACATGGGCACTGTCCCTTAGATTTTGTGCTCAATGCTGGCACTCTGCAACTTGAGCCATACTTCTGTTTCTGGCTTTTTCCTGGTTAGTTGGAGGTAAGAGTCTCATGGAGTCAGTGCTGGTGGCTCACATGTGTAATCCTAGCTACTCAGGACCCTGAGATCTGAGGATCAAGGTTTAATGCCAGCTAGGAAATTCTGTGAGACTCTTACCTCTTACCTGCATGAAATCAGAGAAAAAGGGGCTGGGAAGGTGGCTCAGTGGTAGAGCGCTTGCCTTGTATGCCTGAGGCCCTGGGTTCAATTCCTCAGCACCACATAAGCAAAAAGAAAAAAGCCGGAAGTGGTGCTGTGGCTCAAGTGGTA